AGGGAAGGCATGGAGAAGGGTACAAGTCAGAGAAGCAACAAAAGATTAACCCTGTGCAAACAGAGAGGCTTGGTAGCCCTTTGATGTGTGACTAGAGTACATTCATCCAAGTTCCTAGTTAAGTTTCTGGTAAGTTACTCACTTCACAGCTCTCCCTCAGACTCAGGATGTGGGAGTCCATGCTTCTGTGTGTGCGAGTTCTAAAAACGTCCGACCTCCTTCTTCCTGGAGGTGACCCTCTTAAATAGCCCCTCCAACCTCACCACCTGGACCCAGTCAGGGACAGGTGTCATTTGATGCTTGACAATCAATTTTGAAAAACATCACAGTTCCCTAGAGGAATGACATGGGCTTAATCCCCTGCCTCCAGGTCGTGAGGTCAGGGCTGCAAACAGTAGAGAAGTTAAATTCACACCCTCTTACCTGAAGTCCCTCAGTACACAATAACTCAGAGTAACCAGATTGACAGACATGTGAGGGGACGAAAAGAGAAGAAAGGAGGGGAAAAAAACCAAAGAGGAGGCTCGGACTGGAGTTCTTTCATACTCAGACCCTGTTGACCGTAGGGTTGTTTAACCCACCCTGGTACTTTGGGGTGCTCCTTGAACCTGAAGCATTCATAGATAGCTTTCCTTAGCCAGCCGAGCAAAAGGGGGCCGAAAAGGTTTGTCTCATCTCTCTCAAGCATGTACAGCAAGGCTTGCTGTAATGGATAGCTTTATTCACTGGAGGGGGTAGGCCTGGGGAGGGGCACAGGTCAGAAGGATCAAAAGAAAAACCCCGAGCAAACAGAAGCCACTTGGTAGCCGTTCGATACTCTTCTAGATCACCTTGTCTTAAGTTACTAGCTAAAATTCAGGTAAGTTGCTCACATTTACACCCAGAGTCCGACCAAGCTCTTTCTCTGGAGGTTACCTGGCTTGTTCTGCTGTGGTCCAGAACATGCCTGCCCCCTTCCTCATGGAGGGGCTCTTAAACACCTGTCGTGACCTCATCACTAAGTTCCAACCATTGGCTGCTGACTGGTGCTTCCAAATGACATCAGCCTTGCCAGGTGAGATGACCAGTCCCATGACCTGCGGTGGGGGGAACCTGAGACAACAGAGGAGCAGGTTCCCCCTCCCCTTGGGATTTGTCCAGCCCAGTCAGTCCTGTAGGCAGGTTGGGGCGGGGGTCTGTCTGCTTACAGCAGTGAGGCAGATGGGGCCCGGGGCAGGGCGGGGCGGGGGGGATTTCTCTATGCTGGCCTGGTCTGGCCTTGCCCAAGGGTCAGTGCAGAGCTGCGGCCCCAGACAGGGCAGGGAGCACAGCAGGGCACTTGCCTTGCTGCCTCGAGGGATTCAGCCACCGCATGCCCTGATGACCCTGAGCAAGACCAGTCCTATGAGATCCCTGGGTCCCCGGAGCCTGCCCGGCACCTCAGGGCCATGGCACCATTGTGGGAACAGCCGGGTGCAGGCTGCTCTCCCTATGGGGCCTGGCCACTGAACGGCTCCCAGCAGCTGTGTGGGTTGGAAACGTGGCCGTGGCCGTAGCCGTGGCCGTGGCCAGCAGGGTTCCCTGCTTCGCAAGGGGCTGAGGGCAGCTGGGGCACAGATGTCCAGTGCAGACGGTGCCAGGCCAGGGCCCAGGACAGCTCTGCATCTGACCAAAAGACCCCTGAAATGCCCCGTCTGAACGGGCAGCCTTGGCTAGCCCCATAGACCTCTCCAGCTTCATCCCTCCTTATTCTCCTCCTCCTCCTCCCCACAGGGATGGCTCGGTGCCTTGGGGCGTGCCCTGCCCGAGCACCTGGTGTTCAGGAAGGTGCACAAGGAGCTGGGGGCTGCAGCGCTGCACCCGGCTGATGAGCACCCACTGCCACGGACATGTTTTTCGTGAGCCTCCATCTGCTGCTCCTCAAGTTGTTTGGCATAACTGAGAGCACTGGGCACACAGGCCACCTGCACCCGCCAGTCCAGTTGCATCCTCGTG